TCATTTTACCGTAATATTTTTTCAGGTCAGAATCTTTTCGTGCCGCTTTTCCAAAGACTTAAGCTGGGCAAACGCGGGATAGCAGTTGGTTGGCAACTAGATATCCTTATCGACCCAAAGCATACCAACGGAGTATCGAGTTCGGTCAGGTAAAATAGTCGGTTCAAGCATTTTTAGAGCTAGCTTGTCTGATGCTGAACGCGGATCGGCTGATTTTTAATTACCGTAGGACTGAAGTTCATACCAACTTTTGACGTGCACCTTAAGAGAATGGTCTTCAACACTGCACTTGAAACAGTGAGATGGCAAACCTAAAGATGATGGTAGAGGACCACTGAGGACCCAACTGATAGATGAGCGTACCGCAAACGGTCAATATCGGCTTTAATCGCCGTGAAATTCTAATCGTCGGATGGAAACAGTCTTGGCATTTTCGAAGTCAGAGTATTGGTGTGTCTGGGAAGGCACTGGAGCCAAATGATGAGAAACTTTTTTAGGTTCACTGTTATTCATGATATCAGAAGTTTAAATCTGTCTTCACAAAAAATCGTGCGTGGAAATTGTATGAACTGGATTCATTAATACCCGAAATTCCTATTTCTACTTATTCCGTCGTTAAAACTTGTTGTGAATTTATTCCAATGACTGCTGACTGCGAGGTTCAACTTTTTACCGGACATTTTGTTTTTTTTTTCAGCAGGTTTCCATGAGTGTCTGCAAACCGAATCACAAACAACAAGAGTATTAGAGCTGGATGTGTTGCTGGACATTTTCAATTCAACAATTTGAAGCAGACCTTTAACACGGAATACGGAGGTGGCACGAGTATCTTTAAATTTTTCCACTTCCAGATTAGCGGAATGCGGAGAGGTTTTTCCTTCAGCTGGTGACTTTGTTGAGTCTTTTGCGGGGTATATTCTTTCGGCTCCGTGAAGGAGTGCATTGTGAGTGCTGTCGCAATCAGGCTTGTTGCACTTTCTAGATTTTGGGCATTTTCGAAAAGTATGGTCTGATTGCAGACAGGAAAAACACAGATTCTGCTAGGCACCAAACTTTGCTCTTTGAGTAGGAGTTTTCTCTTTGAAGACGCTACAGGACCAAATGGCATGTTTGCCATAGCAAACAACGCAGGGCGGATACTTTCGATTGGGCTTTTTGTCAGACCTTTTTGATTTAAAAGACAAAATATGTGATACTGTTTCAGAAGGGCCAGTGTTGGCCTGATTTTTCTGGTTTCGGTTTTTGGGAGTGTTAGCGCGCATTCGCTCATGCGCATCTACCTTTTCTGACAGCCAGTCGTTGAAATGAGCAAAGATGGTTGGTAAAGACTCCTTTTCACTGTGTGAAGAGCCCATGTTTCCTTCATGTTGGGTGGCAGTTTAACCAATGCTTGGTTCAAAAAAGCAACTCCTTCCAAATCCTGGGTATAAGAGTGACTTAAACACACCAACAAGATTTGAGTTGGTCCGAGCAAAACTTATAATGCTGTCGGAATTATGCATCTTCAAAGATGGGAAACAATTTATTTGTCAATTTATATGTCAAAATTCCGAATAAGAGTGTTCAAGTCAACTTTATACAAAACACCGGAATACGCAATTTCAGCGATGGTATTTTTGGCTTTGCCAGTCACAAGAGTTTCCAAGTATGCCAACTTCACGTCATCAAACAAACGGGCTGAATCGACAGCGCTCACAAACTGGCCGAACCATTCATGCCAGTGTGAATGGTTTTGGGACAAAGTCCATTCTGGTAGCGGATCTTTACGGTTCATGGTAACAATCTCAGCGAGGTCTTCGATAATTAGAGGTTTTTCTTCATTAATTGGCGGGTAGAGCAGCTTTTTCCGATCAACGTGATTGTTGTCATCAACATTATAATAATTAAACCCGTTATCTCGGGGATCCGGAAATTGATACTCAGACTGCGGCTGGTAGAAGACGGTTCCACCAATGGTTAATGGAAATTTTGAATTGGTACAATCTAAAATCGAGTTTGGCACGTTTCTAATTTTGACTTTAGAGGACATTCGAGCTAGAGTTTGACTCTGGCTAGTTTTTGCGGTTTCAATGAAACCAACGGGTGGCACAGTAGATTTAGTAGACGTTTGCAGAAGATTCGCAATGTATTGAGTGTTATTTTGGATTATTTTTTTTTCAGATCTGGATTGAAAAGGGTTTCTGATATTGATATTATCTTCAACCAACTGACTAGTCGAGACAGAAATCACCGGTTGGAAAGATAGGTTAAGTGGGTTAGAGCGGAACGGTTTACAACCAGCAGCACTCGGTGACGGTTCGGTTCCTTGTGCAGTTTAAATTTCTTCGGTTGTTTTGTTCACCCAGCTTTCTGTCCTTTTACTTCCGATAAGATTCTCCTCGAGCAAGTCTACTCTTCATGTAGGGTACCTTTGGCCAACTTCACTCAATTTTCTTCGGCCAACTCTTCCAGTTCTATCAGGTTTTTCTGCTGTTTTAAGCGACGTTTAGCTTCATTTTGTCGCTCTAATTCTTCATGGCGCAAGGTTGCAAATTTCAGCTCTCGAATTCTTTGGCCAGTAGTAACCGACGCAGACAAACACTTAGAAGATTCCACATGACTTTTGTGTGATATAGTTGCAGAGCTTCGTAATTTAACACTTTCGAAGTGGCTGAAGGTTTGTTTGGCGTTAAGATACTGTCGGGCTCTAGTAAGGAATGCACCGTTTTTTTTTGGGTTAAAAGCTCTAACTAATGTTCCAAGGCTGCTTTATTGGATAGTCGTGATGTTAAAAAGAGGATTTCTTCATTTTTGGAGACTTCTTTTTACGAGCATTCTTTACAGTTTTGAAGCCATTTTTTTATTACAACAATGCTGTCTTTCCTTTCAATGGCCTCAAGTATGTACTCATGATTTGTATCTAACTCTTTTTCGAGCTTGGTTCTAGCTAGCGTGAGACGGTTAATCTTATCGGCAAGATGGGACGCCATTGCTGGCGGAGTCGAGGGAACAGTCGCGTTAAGCGAAGACGGGTCGGCAGCCATCGTACAACAAGTGACTACACTGAGCGTCAGATAACCCCTGGGAGCGAAACCCGAGTTAACAACTTAGTACAGTGTAATCAACTCGGAAAAAATTCTGGATGAACGGAAGAACTGCATTGAACAACTTTATCTGGCCTGCTAACCTAAGGTTAACAGATAAAAGATGCTGACAACACAATAAATTTTGTTTCGAATAAATTAAAGTAAATTCAATTGACAAGGTAAACGAAAAACTAAATTCCTTTAAAATTTATGCAAAGATTTTGAATTTAAACGGACAATTTCTTTCTTGGGGACCTTCTGGGCGGCCAGTTTCGTTTGCTTCCTTTTGAAAGCTTCTCGTTGATTTTTACCATATTTCTTCTTTCGTTTAACTTTTTCAACAATGGTTTTCATATTTTGGCTGTGTCGTAAAATAATGGTTACAGTTTTCAAATTGAGACGAGAAACTTGATGCAAAGCGTTACGACTATTCCCAAGTCGTGGCACCAAAATATTCCTTTGATAAAAAGAACGGACGGGAAAAACTCAAAAAAAACCATAAAGTTCTATATGAAATATCTAGATTATAAAAACAGACGCATAATTTGACAGTAACAGAGTTTAGTAACACGATGATCTATTTGTTCGTTGTAAACGTATCATTATCAAAAATCCTAATTTTTTGACGTTTTTATTACTAATGTAAAAAAAAAATTGCCACAAATTGTCATGTTCTTGAGCCAAGCTTTCTTTCTTGGTTGTTCTGATATTCGAAAATTTCAGTTTTCTCTACTCTTAAAGCGCCGAACAAATTTTGTAACGGACTGATATTTTTTCGATTAACATCACATTTTTTATTGGCACTTAGAGCTGTCGTCAAAAAGAGTTTGAAGAAAGCAGCAGCAGTTTTTCTCCGAGAAGGCCTGGAATAACACCGCGCAGTGTTTGCCAGAAATTAAAAACAGAGCTTTCATGTGCCGCTAATGTCTTCTTATTGCACTCCTCTGAGCCACTTATTCCTCTTCGAACAAACAAAATCGTTCTTCGCACTGCGCTTTTACAGAGAGGCAATGTAGAAACATCGTCTCTTCACGCTATCTACATTCAGAAACATCTTCTCTTCTTTGATTAAAAACATCTTTGATTGAAAATTGTATGAAATCTCTATAGTTAACATTTTCCCATAAATTGATTTTGAATATTTGGTGTTTTTTCCACAAACCAGAATGTTGTGTTTTGTTTGCAATTTTTTTTCTGAAAAACTTTGGGTTGTGTTTGAAACCGAACACAAGTGACACAGACCTTGGTTACTCAAAGCCTTAAAAGTTGGACGGTCTTGCTTTTGCAATGCATAGAAATTGACCTGAATTGTCTTCGCGCTATCTTTCACGAATGATATAACAAAAATAACAAACAAGGCAAAATTTTTCAATGATTTTTTAGAATTTTGAATTTTCAAATTATCAATGTACCGAACTTTTCTCACAATTTCCGTCTGATCATAAAACTTTCAGAAACTAGCTGTTTCCCAGCTCTGTGCATATCTCTTTCACATGTCATCACTTCTGCCGTTTGCAGACTATACCTGAGTCAGACATGACTATACCTGAACAGACATGACTATACCTGGTCAAACAGGACTATACCTGATCATACATGACTACACCTTGTCAGACATGACTATACTTGAGTCAGACATGACTAAAGCTGGTCAGACATGACTATACCTAGCCAGACATTACTATATCTGAGTCAGGTCTGATCATGTAAAATCTTAGCGCCATGTAATGGCAGAAACGCAGATGGTTATAATGTAGTACAATGTAAATTTACAAGCCAGCATGGTGTTTCGATAAGGCAAAGAATCATAATGACTGCCTCTTTATAACTATTTACCTTGTTCTTGTGAATTGTTTCGGGAATGACCTGTTGTTTCGAGCTGTTGTTTCTTTGTTGTGTCTGAGGCTTGTAGAAAAAATATTCTTGGCTTAGGTTATCGCTTCTCGGTCTTTTGGCTAAGATCATATCTGGTATCTGTTCTTGTCAGCTTTATATCTGGCATGCTGGGAACTGCCTGGGACCAATTTTAAAATAATTTTTGCTTCTTGCGTTAACATCGAAGCTTGCTTCGGTTGACTCACGGATTGTCCCGGTCTTACACTACCATAAGGATATGTCTGCTTCAGGTCTGATCATGCAATTTCAGGCATGGTTATGTCTGGTCCAGATATGATCATGTAAAGTCAGGAATGATCATGTCTGCTTCAGGTTTGAACATGCGATTTCATGCATGGTTATGTCTGGTCCAAATATGATCATGTAAAAACAGTTATGATAATGTCTGCTTCAGGTCTGATCATGTAATTTCATTCTGGTCCAGGTTTGCTTCAAGTCTGATCATATCTGACTGAAGATCTGAACTTTTTTCAAAATTATTATCTCTGGTACATGTCTGTTTCAGACATGTACAATGAAAAAAGAGACATGCCACAGGACTGATACAGATATGGATTTTGTATGTATTTTCGATTTCCAGTTTCGAATTTGACTACAAAGTTCAGTACGGGCAGACATTGATTAGGGCATATATAAACACGCCAGACAAAAAAATAGGGGTTTTCAGCATCTTTGAAAAAAATTCTAAGTGAAAAGAAAAAAGCCAAGGTTATCGTATCCAGGACTATGTTATGCACACAAAAAATAAATTTAGCATTCAAAAAGTTTTTGTTCGGAAAATGTTTGTTTGCGTACAAAATTTGGCACTTTTTGCTTTCCAACCTCCCCCCACACCTCACATTAGCATCGATTTCATGGTGTAACGAGTAGTTTTACAAGTTGACTATGCAGACCAAATATGTATGTCGTGTTAGTCCGTATACCACAAAGTTGATGTCAATTTGACAATGTGAACAGTGAATTTACTCAAAAAAGTTTTGCAGGTGCGGGTGAGCCCATTATTTGATTTGCGGTTGAAAAAAAAACGGAAAATGTGTGGTAAGCTTTTTTTTATACACTTGATGTATGGAATTGTATGATAATAATCTGGCTCTTTTCCAGTTACCCCTCTCAAATTCAATATTGAATAGCTTATTTAACGTTGTCATAATGCAATGAATTTTGGCGTGGTGAACAAATTGACAAC